TGCCAATTATTAGACACGTAATTAATTAATTTAAATAAGTTATATTTATATATTCATTATTAAATAAATATTTGGAACTTATGCGTGATAACTCTCGAAATTTGTTTGAAGAAGATACAGATAAACAGATATATCTTTTTAAAAAATAAAAATAAAAAAACATATTTGTCTATAGTTTTGAAAAATACTCTAAATTATATCGGGGGAAAAAAAGGAAATTATGAGAAGAAAAATACAGAATTATCCATAAAGATTTGCAAAATAAAAAGGAACAAATAAATCTAATAACCAACTTCTAAATTTTTAAAAATTTTTTTAAGACTGANTAGAAAGGCAATCAGAGAAAATTTCTTTTTTTAATTATTATTCTTAATGAAATTTTCGTAGTAATTTATGAATCGCTCGATATAAAAAAATGTATAAAATAAATTCGGTTAGTTATAAAAAAAAAAAATTTTTTTTCTAGAAATTTTCTAGATTATTCAAGAAATATTTAAATAAACGAGCTGTAAAAACGTAACCGCTCAAAATTCAAGAAAATATTTTGAAAACTCCTCTTATTGAAAAATCGTAAAACCCATTAAATCGTAGAATGTTGGGAATAAATAATAAAAAAAAAGTAAATTAAATTTATGAGAAAGTTGATATAAAATAGAAATCTTTCCAGTATAATGTTTAAAATACCAGATTAATTATTCAATGCATTTTAAGAAAATTCTAAGAAAAATTTCGAATGAAAGCTACAAATCTAAGAGGCTCAAGTGATATATGTCAATGCTAGTCCCTTATTAAAACTCCATTTATTGCTTTCTTAGAAAAAAACACCATAGAAAATCTGGTTAAATTTAAAGTTATACTGTATTACCATATACATCAAGAAGAAAATTTTTTTCTGGTAGATTTCTTCTTACCTTACTTTTCTGTCATTGGTTTATCACAAGAGCTAGGAGATTTTTTTCTTTTAAATATAAAATTTTATAATCCTTTTAAGTAACATACCGGATTTTTGCGATAAAAGTTTTATCGCTGTTTATCAAACTAATTAAAAATTCTAAGGCTAATAATATAGATTTATATCCATCAAATTTATTTTCTAACCTTAAAATTTTTGAAATTTTAAAAGTTTACATCACTTAAACTGATTAAGAAAAGAGGGAAAAATTAAAATATCCTCTTTTCTTCAGAATATAATACAAAAAATTTAAAAGAAAAAAAATTTTTAATTTTACAACATTTTACTTATTTAAATTTTGATGTAAAAATTTAAATTAATATTTTAATCTATCCAAATTTGTAATAGTATTATTCAGTTCGATAATAATGTAAAAATATAGTTTTGCAAATTTTTTTAATGCAATCTGCAAGATATTTTAGTAGTCTTTTACAGGAAATAGCCATATATTTAAAAAAAATGTCATAAAACGATAAAGATAATCTTTCGTTCGCATTTTGGTCATCAATCAAGTTTTATCTTTTATAAAGAGAGTTGTCCCTGCACGAATTTCGTGAATTAACTATAATATCATTTTCGCACATTAGATGGCGCTATAGAATGAGAGAAAGAATAAATAACGCATCGAAATTTTAAATATATATTTTACTAACGACGTAATTAACGTAAAGAATATTAATACTTGATAACAATATATATTGTTATATTAATTAATTTAAAAGATTTTACCTAAATTTAAATGGTGACGTCATTAAATAAGGCATACGATCTTGACAGGGTTAAAAGTGTTGGATTCAAAAATTCATCGATTTTTAAATATTATTTAATATTAATAACTTAAATACGAAATTAAAAAGAAATGTTTCGTCAGTTATTATTATTATTTTATGTAGTTAATTAAATACAGTCGACATTTTACTAAAATTATTAATTAAGGAAAAATAAAATTACCCGTATTTAATTTTATAATAATAACCGAAATTTATTTTTAAACTAATTAAAACAGGTTATTAAATTTAAACGATGACGTCACATCAATTACGTAGGTAGTAAAATTGTGACAACGTCGATTTATTTTAGAAATTAATTGATTGTATTTAATTTCGATAATAAATTCAGTTATAAATACGTTAAAACGTAAAAATAAATAAGCATTTATATAACAATATTATAAACGCAAATAATATTGTCAAATATTTTAAAATGATTATGATCTTAATGGGCCTCGTTATGTTTAAAAATTCCATGTTGTAAATTCCGTCAAAAGATAATCGGATTAAGCTTTAAAGTAATCCGTTATTGAATTTGTTTAAAGAGTAGAGATAAGCAGTTCGAAAATTTCCCAAAATTTGTTAATATTCCTTTTAAATACATCATTAAGTACTATAAATTAAACGAGACAGCCATTAACAGCTACAGATTAAGAACTTCTGTACCACACTTTCACTCTCCATCTTTAAAGATCAAAATAATAAAAGGTAATCTGATGAATCGCAAATTACCAGACAATTAACGATAAGAATGTAATTAATGGCTTATTTCAAGCAATTAATAGATATAACGATTAGTTTATTCCTTAAAAAATCATCAGGGTACTGATATAACAGAAATGGATTCTTTATGGCTGATAAGGAATGTAGATTAATGATCACCTCCTTAACGGAATCGCATAAAATATTTTTGTGTAAAAAAAAAGATAAAAAAAGTTGTAAGTTATCTATCTTTCTTTAATGATATATTAATATGTATAATTAATTTATTTCATTCTTTTAATATAGGCCTATATATAGATTATAAAACTTCGAAAATTTCATCTGAAATTTAGATAAATGATGTGAAAACTGAGAAGAATGTGTAACACAACTTGCTAGTTCGACCTTTCAACTTTACAGTCGAGGATACGGCTGGATTTTACGTCCTCTGGCTATTTTTATTTTCAAGAATCATGCTAAAAACTGTCGTAATGTTGTTATTGCTCAGATAGGAGTCTTAGATAAAAAACTAAATACAATTTAAATCAATTCGTTCTTTTCTTAAAATATATATATATTAATAACTTATTTTTATCAAGAAATTTCAGATTAGAAATTAAATTTATAGGTTAAAAAATGCAATATTTCATTGATACGAATTACATTTTAATTTCAATTTGCAAATAAAAAAAAATAGAAAGGCAATCAGAGAAAATTTCTTTTTTTAATTATTATTCTTAATGAAATTTTCGTAGTAATTTATGAATCGCTCGATATAAAAAAATGTATAAAATAAATTCGGTTAGTTATAAAAAAAAAAAATTTTTTTTCTAGAAATTTTCTAGATTATTCAAGAAATATTTAAATAAACGAGCTGTAAAAACGTAACCGCTCAAAATTCAAGAAAATATTTTGAAAACTCCTCTTATTGAAAAATCGTAAAACCCATTAAATCGTAGAATGTTGGGAATAAATAATAAAAAAAAAGTAAATTAAATTTATGAGAAAGTTGATATAAAATAGAAATCTTTCCAGTATAATGTTTAAAATACCAGATTAATTATTCAATGCATTTTAAGAAAATTCTAAGAAAAATTTCGAATGAAAGCTACAAATCTAAGAGGCTCAAGTGATATATGTCAATGCTAGTCCCTTATTAAAACTCCATTTATTGCTTTCTTAGAAAAAAACACCATAGAAAATCTGGTTAAATTTAAAGTTATACTGTATTACCATATACATCAAGAAGAAAATTTTTTTCTGGTAGATTTCTTCTTACCTTACTTTTCTGTCATTGGTTTATCACAAGAGCTAGGAGATTTTTTTCTTTTAAATATAAAATTTTATAATCCTTTTAAGTAACATACCGGATTTTTGCGATAAAAGTTTTATCGCTGTTTATCAAACTAATTAAAAATTCTAAGGCTAATAATATAGATTTATATCCATCAAATTTATTTTCTAACCTTAAAATTTTTGAAATTTTAAAAGTTTACATCACTTAAACTGATTAAGAAAAGAGGGAAAAATTAAAATATCCTCTTTTCTTCAGAATATAATACAAAAAATTTAAAAGAAAAAAAATTTTTAATTTTACAACATTTTACTTATTTAAATTTTGATGTAAAAATTTAAATTAATATTTTAATCTATCCAAATTTGTAATAGTATTATTCAGTTCGATAATAATGTAAAAATATAGTTTTGCAAATTTTTTTAATGCAATCTGCAAGATATTTTAGTAGTCTTTTACAGGAAATAGCCATATATTTAAAAAAAATGTCATAAAACGATAAAGATAATCTTTCGTTCGCATTTTGGTCATCAATCAAGTTTTATCTTTTATAAAGAGAGTTGTCCCTGCACGAATTTCGTGAATTAACTATAATATCATTTTCGCACATTAGATGGCGCTATAGAATGAGAGAAAGAATAAATAACGCATCGAAATTTTAAATATATATTTTACTAACGACGTAATTAACGTAAAGAATATTAATACTTGATAACAATATATATTGTTATATTAATTAATTTAAAAGATTTTACCTAAATTTAAATGGTGACGTCATTAAATAAGGCATACGATCTTGACAGGGTTAAAAGTGTTGGATTCAAAAATTCATCGATTTTTAAATATTATTTAATATTAATAACTTAAATACGAAATTAAAAAGAAATGTTTCGTCAGTTATTATTATTATTTTATGTAGTTAATTAAATACAGTCGACATTTTACTAAAATTATTAATTAAGGAAAAATAAAATTACCCGTATTTAATTTTATAATAATAACCGAAATTTATTTTTAAACTAATTAAAACAGGTTATTAAATTTAAACGATGACGTCACATCAATTACGTAGGTAGTAAAATTGTGACAACGTCGATTTATTTTAGAAATTAATTGATTGTATTTAATTTCGATAATAAATTCAGTTATAAATACGTTAAAACGTAAAAATAAATAAGCATTTATATAACAATATTATAAACGCAAATAATATTGTCAAATATTTTAAAATGATTATGATCTTAATGGGCCTCGTTATGTTTAAAAATTCCATAAAATATGTAATTAAATACATTGAAATAAAATAATATTCCCTTATAATATTCAATATTTTATTATATTTAAAAATATTGTAATTAATATTTAAAATTTTACAAAATATATTATGTAGCATGATGCATTATTTTCGAATTTTTTAAATTTTTGGGCTTAAGTAAAATTTTCATTTTATCAAATTATAGAAAAAATTGTACCAAAAAAAAAAAAATTAAATTTTTCAGATGACAGATGACCTATTACATGTAATATATCTTCATTTTTATTTCATAAATTTTTTAAACTGAATGATTAGTTTTAAAATTAGTGCATACATTCACAAATAATTAATATGCTATTAATAAATTTAAGTACGATGGCATCGCTTTATAATTTAAAAAAAAAAAAGACGCCATTTCATTTCAAATTAAAAACCCATTTTCGCTTTTTGAAATATAAATTATTATGTTTGTACGAATTTTGAGTAAAAATAAAATTTAATCAGTGTAAATATTTTCAAATTTAAATATTTTAGCACCTGACGACAATCGGGGAAAAACCGAGATCATTCGTGACGTAATCAATAATTCGTTTTCTGAAAGTAATTTTGTGAATTATTTAATAAAAATAATGTCTTCTGATATATTTTAATAACTTAAATTTTCTCGAGAATATAAAAACATTTGAATCAATCAAATTTGAAGTTGATGTCGTCAAACGACGTCATACAATTTTCAAACTTTTAAGAATTAATCTATACGTTATTCTCGTAACTCCTAAATGAAGATTTTTTTAAATGACATTTATAAATTTATTAATTCGTTATTTAAATTAAATGATCATTTAATTACGAT